CTCACTTTCCAAGTTATACCTTAAACATTATTAATTATTGTACGAAATTTTTCAGAATTATGAAAATTATGAAAATTTGTCAACTGTAGGAATAATCGGGAAAGTTTGTAATAATGCAAGTGGGAAGATTAATAGTATAGAAAAATTATCGATTCGAATGTTTTGGAAAAAAAAAAAAAAAAAAAAATGCGAATACGCTCGATCTAAAGCTCCGGTCGATGAAAAACGCACACGCCCACCCACACAAAATATTCAATAGCACCGATTATGCAAGTGTAAAAATGACAAAAAGTTTGATTTTCATGGGATTAAGAAGTGGAATTTTCTGTCACGTTATTATTATTATAATATAATGTTACGACGCGCTGAGTAAGCGCATTATTGCGTTTGTCCAGCGGCATTATCCGCCATGAACTCACGATTGTCTCGTATAAATCTTATGCGCGAATAAACTCTATTATTGTATTAATGAAAATGGTGACTGCGCGCGCAAAATATACGTTTCTTTGTCAAAAGGAAGAAAAAAGAAAAAGGAAATAATCAAACAGGCTTACTGGATTGATATTGGCATAGAGAAGAAAATTTTTCCACGGCGAGTCTATCGTCGCCAATGCAAAAAAAAAAGGGGAAAAAAAAAAAAAAAAAAAAAAAAAAAAAAAAAAAAAAAGTCATACTCGCGCTTGCTTTGTCGTCAAAAACTTCCATTTTCCACAATGTTATGAATTATTATTATACTTATTTATAATTACGAAGCTCTCGATTATACGAAGCTAAGCGTTTCGTCGGCTCCTCGATCCGTTATAACGACTACGATTATCGGCCCCCCGTCGTCGTTATTAAGCTCTGTTAAACGAGGATGTATCTTTTATCGCGAGGAGGTGAGCCTCTTCAACGGAAATTTCCGACTCCTGCTCACACGCAAATAACAGCACTGCCAAATTCGATAAATAATTAACGGCAATAACAAACAAACATCGCCCTTCGACGGTACAATTAGGTGGTCGGATTCGGCGCTGTAAAAGCGTCGTTATTGCTCGATCGTTCGAGTTGGAGTGGAAAGGTAAAGATTATCGCCGAATGGGATCGATAAGGACTGGGAGGTCGTTAGAGCGCAAAGGCCATGCGTTTGTATGAAATTACGGAATAATTGAGTGGAGCAGCTGTTTCTGTAAAATCGCGAGGTTAATTGGTGCGTGGGAGAGTGCGGCGAGATGTGGGTGTGGGTGTAATGAAAGTTGTAAGTTCCGGCGAAGCTTTGGGGTTTTTCGGTGTATGGGGATGGGAAGGGGTTGGGTTGGCGGATGGGCGCTAAAGCTCGGGAGATAAGTGCGGTGGTCGGTAGGAGCGGGAGCTGTCGTGGTTGTCACGCAACAATGGGGGGTTACGTCGGCGTGCGGTGGAGTGATCGGTGATTGGTTGGCGACGAGGAGGAGCGGCGTGGCTCTGATCGGCTAGTCGTCGCTCCCGGCAACGCGGTCGGCCAAGGTCGATAGGATAGACGAGAGAACGAGAGGAAGTCGCTGGGCGAGGAGCGCGCGATAGCCTTCGAATGTGTTGTCATTGGAGGCTGCTGCGGGGGCTTAACGCGGGGCGCGGCTCATTGGGATACCGAAGTTGCTCGTGCGGTGCAGCGATTTCTCGGGTCGGCTCTTCCTGGGCGATTCGATATCGGCGCGCGGACATACGCGGTGGTCAGTTGTAGTGCAAGAGCGCCGAGTGGTTAAGCGGAGTCACGCACATTTCATCCTCGATTCTCTTGTTCTTTGCAGTTTCTCTTGTTCTCGGAGGAATGAACGGGGTTAATGGACTGGCTTGACCCATAACCTCAAAGACGGCCTGGTTGCCTTGTTCCATTCATCAGCCAAGATGGATTTGTGAGAGGGAAGCGGCGAGAGAGAGAGAGAGAGAGAGAGAGAGAGAGAGAGAAAGCGGCACGCATCGAGGAAGGAGTTAAATTTCGTATTGATCTGACGTGTGAGAGAGAGAGAGAGAGACACACACACACACACACACACAGAGAGAGAGAGAGAGAGAGAGACCAGACAGAGACCAGAGTATTGACGGCCTAAGATGTATAGCGGACGATGGCTGTATCGTTTGTTCATAATACCGTTGATTGTTCTTCTTACGTATGTGCCAATCGCACGGTGCGTCGAAGTCTTGTACGCTATCAATGCGGGAGGTGAAACGCACGTGGACAGCTATGGGATTCGTTACTCGAAGGATCCGCTGATGGGCAAAGTGGGCACAGCCTCCGATTATGGGAAACAATTGCTAATCAGTAGGGTGAATAGCGTTGACCATATATTGTATCAGACGGAGCGCTACCATCATAGTACCTTTGGGTACGATATACCGATTAGCGAGGACGGAGAGTACGTTATGATTCTTAAATTTTGCGAGGTTTATTTTAATTCGCCGAATATGAAGGTTAGATATCGGTGGTTAGCCATTGGTAGCCGTCCGGTTCCGGATTGGGAGCCGAACGCAGTGGTGAACTGAATGGTACGCATTTTATTTGCCCGTAGGTGTTCGATATTGTCCTGAACGGGGACCACACCGTCATCACGGACTTGGATATATTCGAAAGAGTGGGTCGAGGTATTGCGCACGACGAGTACGTCCCGTTTAAAGTGCAAAAGGGCAAGCTAATTTATAACGACGAAGAATCCGACATTCTTGGTGGCAAGATAAGAATTGAATTCATCAAGGTAAGTTTAAGTGAGAAAGCGGCGAGAGATAATTTGTTAATTCGCATCCAACGTTATTGAAACTTTGCTTGGAGCTCGATACCGATAGGGTACACTGTAGCTCTCTCGCTCAAACTGTCCACGTTAAACCCACGGGGTTGCGAAGGTTCGAACCTTTTCTTACAAAGGAACTTTCTGTTTCAGGGATATCGAGATAATCCCAAAATTAATGCTATAGCTGTGATTAAAGGAAGTCTCGAAGGTTAGATAAGCTGGAGCCTATTTTTAGTTATATGCCACTGGGCTGTGATGTAAACGTGTGACAGACGTAATTGCTTTTTGTGCGTAGATGTTCCACAACTGGGACCAATTCCGCAAGAGCCAGAAGAGTATCATGGGATGCAAGACGACGAAGAGGAGCCCGTAATCCGCACGAGGCATACGAGTGGACCACGTACACCCGATCCCTACGACTCCGAAGACTCGTCCATACTTCTACCTGTATTCGTTGCCATTGGAGCTTTTATACCCCTGTTGTTCTGCCTGTGCAAATTATAGAGGCCAAGAATAGCACAAATAAATTATAAGAGGTGTATTATGGTATATATGTGCTTGGTGAAGGGCGCACGTAGAACCTTTAATACACAAATTGTTCTGTTTAAATCAACTGTAAACATTATTGAAATATCTGGTTTATCTTTATCGTGGTAAAGTCTATTTCGATATTTATTATTTATTTGAATAAATAACGCACGCTTACGGTGTGATATTATCTCTGTGCAATCGATGGATTTAAAAACAAAAACAAAAAAAAAACTTGTCTTAAGTGAACAAACTGGCCTTACAACACTCGGAAGCTTGTAATACTAAAGGGACTGTAAATGAAAAGTACTATAACGTCAAGTAATTGTCAAGTATGTATTATCGTAAACGAAATTAAGGAACAAAATATTTTGTCAAATACTTATTGTAAGTTAGGCTTTTCGAATCGGGGACTTAGGAAATAATAAAGTTATTATATTACTATTACAAAAAAACAAAAAAAAACAAAAACAAAACAAAAACAAAAAAAAAAAAAAATTTTCATTATACCTCGCAAAGACGCTTTGTTAATAATTTCATTTCACTCCAATAATTCAATCAGTTTTCTCCTTAAACTCAACGATTGGTTATTATAAACTATTTTATAATCTTTTATGCTAACATGTCAAATTTCTTCTCCGCTCACATGCACTCGATAACTTGCAGTAATCTTGGAATCAATTTAATGTTTAGATTCACGTGTAGCTAAAAGTAGATGATAATTGATCGAAATAATACAATGAAAAGCAGATTAAAGAAATTTCTTTGTTTTTAAAAGTTGAAAACTGACGGAAAGGAAATTCGGCGATTGAAATTTTGAGCGATCGTTAATCAAGGACAAGTGCATCAACTTTTAAGAATTGCGAAATTTCTTCAATACATGCGGGTCGTTTTATAAAATACGAAATTTTATTTGAATTCAAATAAATTTTATAATATAATTTTTCATAAACTCTATATTACTAATATTATAATTAAAATAATAGGTATATAAAAATTCAAGGATAGTGATAAAAGTTAGAGGTTTATTCAATTACAATGTTTTCTGTGAATGATTAAAATAAACTATAACAAATAAAGAAAATGTCTTAAAATGCTAAAACCGAGCACACAAAGATTTACACTAGAAAAAAAAATATATATATATATATAAGAAAAGATTCGCAATTTAATATTTTTTTTCTGTATTTAATTCTTTTTTTTTTTATTTTTTTTTATTTATTTTTTTTTTTTTTTATTTTTTTTTTTTTAATAAACTTTATTCCTTATACTGTTGAATTTATTTAATAATAAGGTATCACATTAAATCAAAAGGTGCTGTACATAAATGGTAGTACGTATTAAAATGGTGACGATTTCGTTGGTATTTACTCAACTTTTGATAGGAACAAACAAAAATAAATAGATAGATAGATTCTTAATACGAAACATGAATAATTGTTATTATACTGAACATATAAAAGTTAAAAAAAAAAAAATCAATATAAAATAAAAGAATGAGAAACAAAAGAAACAGGGGGCAAGATGGGAGTGTAGAGGAAAAAAAAAAAAAAATAAAATAAATAAAAAAAAACGTCCAGCTTCGTTTGTATGTGAACAGTTAAATCGCCGCAACGGGGAGTTACCAACAATATACTCCAAATTCATTGTACCGCATCTTTGTAAAGAGAAAGTCGAGTGTGTACGTTTGTGTTGCTGTGTATTTGTGTGCGAGTAAATTCGTACTACAAGCATCATCGATTCTTTATCATCAATCGTAAATCATCCCTCAATGACGTCTCTTCATTTAGTTGAAGGCCTTCGACGAGCACCACATTATTACGCATACTCAGAGCTTGCATAAAATACAATTACAATAATAACGTAACTTCGAACGCGTCCGATTATTTACACAACAAAAGTTCAAGCCTTTTATCCACTGCCGTGTTTTTCTTTAAGTTTCAATAGGAGGTTTCACAGCACACCGAAGCAGTCAAGCAAATATGTGAATAGTTATATTATTATAATGATCTTTGAATATAGATTGATATATCTTGCCTTTTTTTTTTCCTTAAAATCATACATATATATATATATATTACGTTTTTTTTTTTTTTTTTTACTTTTTGTATAATTATTTGAGTATATTAAAAAGTTTCCAATTTAACGTTCCCTAACTACTACTGTGGATGCGCATTGGGGTATCCGTCCTTCTCGAAACTTAATGCAAAATAAAGAGATGTAAAACTATTGGCCTTAACGTTCAATAGTACTTATAAGCTATGCTGATTTCTCTCAATAGGAAAAGAATTTTCTGGATTTGTCCGATAAATTATGATGTAGGATGAAGAATTAAGGGAATGGAGCGGGAGGAAATGGGTATAAAGACAGACAATTACATATTGATAAGATAGTAGTTAATGAAGAGATAGAGATAGAGAGAGAGAGAGAGAGAGAGAGAGAGCAGATAAAACGAGAGGGTGTTGTCCGTGGATGATCAGTCGCCCTTCTTCCATCATAGCGTACTAGCAGCAGGTCCCCTTCACTCCGCGGTGATGAGCTGATTATCGGTGAGCGGCTCGATCGGCGACACATCTTTCTTCGGTATGTCCTCCTCGATATTCGTTATAACCGTTGTCTTCGTCGTCGTTGTCGTCGTCGTCGTCGTCGTCGTCGTCATTGTGTTTGCATTCATCTTTATCTCCTCGGCCTCGCAAACGCCATTCTGTACGACTTTGGCTGTGACCGCGCCGACGCCGCTTTTGATCGCGGAAGAAGCTGGGACCTTGGCGCCGACTTTAGGAGTCGTGTTGCTCGTCCCCTTTATGCCGGGTTTCGTTATCGGGGCCGGCTTCTTCGCGGGCGAAGCGACGCCAACGGAGACGCGCTTACTCGGGGCCGTCATGGACAGCCTTGGCTTTGGGGCTGCGGCTGCGGCTACGGTAGAGTCTACTGCGGCGGCGGCGGCACGCGCCGAGGAAATTTGCTTGTTGGCCGTCTCCTTCACCTGCTTGTCGATCATCGGCGACTTGGCGCTGACGGGCTTAGTCTTCGGGGCGGTGGTGGTGGAGAGCGTCGAGGTGGGCGCAGTCTTGGGTCTCGCGGTGCCGTTGCTTGTCGGCCTCGTCGTCGGGGTTGCGGTGCTCGGACGCGGCTTCGGTACGGTTGCGCTGGTTTTCGCGCGCACGCTCGACGTCGTCTTTATCAAGGTCGTTCTAGTTGTCTTCGCGGCCTTTGGAGCACTGTCGAGGGTCTTGAGTATAGGCTTCGCGCTCGTCTTGGGCACCGACGCTGTCGCGGTTTTACCGAGACCTTTCACGTCACCGTTGGTACTGGGCTTCTTGTCGCTCGACGTCGAGCTCACCCTGGGGCCCGCAACGTTGGCGCTCGCGGGCTTCGGCTTCGGAGCGGACGCGTTGAGGCTTGAGCGGCCGGCAGCCGTTTTACCGGCAGCATTGGTGATCGTGGACGTGGTCGAGGTGACCTTCGAGGCGCTCGTGAGCTTGGCTGCGGCGGTCGTCTTGGTGGGAGTTGCGGTGAAGGGTTTGCTCGTAAGACCGCCGGTAGTCTTCGTCCGAGTTGTGGTGGAAACTGATGGTTTCTTTGCAGTCGCGCTCGTTGTTCCTGTTTTGGAGCCGAGGCTGTTGACCTTGGTGGGGGAGGTGGGCGTCGTTGATTTTGTCGCGGCCGCCTTGGACGCGCCTGGGGTCTTGGAAATTTTTGGAGCCGTCGTAGTTGGTTTTGCGACGACTTTGGTGGCCGTGTCGGCCGCGACGGTAATTGTCGAGGTGGCCGCGTCCGGGCTCGCTGCCGCTGTCGTAGATGACATTCCAACGGCGACTGCCACTACCGCCGCCGCCGCTGTTGCTGCCGATACCGTAGCTGCTGTCTCGCTGACACCGTTCGACACCGGAAATGCGAAATTCGGAGTTTCTTTCATTAACTGGTCGGTTGTGGTCGTGTCGTGTCGTGTGGTTGTGGCGGCGGAGGCGGAGGCGTCGGCGGCGCTGGCCGCTGCGGCGATTTCAGTTTCATTCGTAATCAAGGGAATTTCCTCGAGCTGGGTTTCCGTGGTTGTCGATGGTGGCGGCACTTCCTCCACGTCCTTCTGCTCGTCCACGAGGCTTTCTTTAAGGATTCGGCACTCCTCGGGAGGAGCGTCTTGCGAGATTTGCGGCTGCTCGTGCGAAGGACTTTCCTCCACGATATTTGACTTCTCGAGATTAACGCTATCTTGGATTAAGGCCTGTGTCGGACTGAGCTGCTCCTCCAGGCCGGTAAATTCCTGCAATGACTCGGACAAGTTAATGGATTTTGTCTGTAAATCGTCGAGTTGCGATGCTTTTGCTTGCTGATTTATCTCCGGATCGGAAGGAGCGGGAGGGCCGCTTGCGTCCCTAGCCAGACCAAATATTTTGGAAAACTCGTCATGTTGGGCTCCGTTCGATTCCCGCTGCAAAGCCTCCACGGCTTCGGAAATGAAATTTTCCTCGGCGAATTTGCTGGTCATTACCTCGGGTTCGTTGACGGGCGACACGAGTACCGGCTCGTCGCTCCTCTGCTCCACAGAAGAGACTTCGAAATTCAAATCGAGAGGATTTTGCATGACCTCGTCGCGAAAAACATTGTTTTGCACGATCTCGGGCTTCGGTGCTTTTTGCGTGGGCTCGTCGTTGCTGATCGGCAGTAGCTGCTCCTCGATCTCGTCGTGGCCGTCGGCGAGATTCTGGTTGTCGAATTCCGGATCGGCGGCGGATACGTAATCGACCGCGAAGGGATTGTTGCTGGCATAAGTGGGGGTGACGTCGGCCGAGATGGGCGCGGGGCGGTCGACGTTGGGCTCGTGCTCAGCGGTGTCTATAAAGTTGCGCTGCTCCTTTGGCTGCGCTAGCAGTTGGTGCTCGGCGTCGTCTATCAAATTACGCTGCTCCTTCGGCTGTGCTAGCAGTTGGTTCTCGGCGTCGTCTATCAAGTTGCGCTCCTCCTTCGGCTGCGCTAGCAGATCGTGCTCGGCGTTGCGCATGTTCATGAAAAGGTCCTTATTGTCGGACTCCTTCTGCTCGACAATCGCCGAGAATACCTCGGCACTCTGTTGCTGCTGCTGGGCGTCGAAGTTGTCGAGATGGAGGTCGACTTTTTCCCGGGCGAACTCGTCCTCGTCGTCCACGCTCATGTTCTCGTCGTTCTCGTGAATGGTGCCGTTCTGCAGATCGGTTACGAGGTCCTCGTCGTTGAGCTCGTGGACCTTGTTGAGGTCGAGCTCCTGCTCGAACACGGCCTTGAAGTCGCCAGGTGTCATGGAGGTGACCATCGCGTCCCTCGAGAAGTTAAAGTCCTCGCGGTCGGAGCCGACGTACGAGCTGTCGATCGGGTATACGCTGGTCTTATACAGTTCACTCGCCACCGAGTAATTGGCCGTGGAGTCATTGTACTCGGCCTTGGTCGATGAAATCTCCGACTCGTCGAGATTCAGCTGGACGGTGCTGCTGTCCTGGGTCAGCGGCTCTTCGTCTTTAAAGGCCTCGAATGCCTCGAAGAGGTTCTTTTGAGGCGAGGAACCACTGTTGGAGTAGTCGCTTATGTCGTCGTCGAGTTCGCTGGGCCTGTGGCAGATTTCGTTCTGGAACTCCTGCTCGCTTGGGATTTTGGAGTTCTTCAAAGCGTGCTGGAACTGTTTGAGGGGCGAGCCCGCGATGAGGTCACTGCTCATTTCGGTCATGCGCTCGGAAATCATCGGGGGTGTGCTCGAGACGGGCACGAACTCGGCAGCGTTCGGGTTCAGGTGGGATTCCATATCTTCGAGCTCGACGTCGCTGTTCTCGGCCTCGATCTCACTTTGTTCCCTCGGCTCCGACTCCGGCTCTCGCTCTACCTGCGGCTCTTGCTCCTCAAAATGCTCTGGTTTCTGCTCGTGCTCGTACTCGTGCTCGTGCTCGTGCTCGTGCTCGTGCTCGTGCTCGTGCTCGTCGTATTCGTTGTCCTCGAAGTAGCGGTGGTCCTCCAACTGCTTTTGCGGCTCTTTGACGAAAGAGAAAATGTCCTCGGGAATGGTTGCTGCTTCAATCTGCAATCGTACAAACGGATAATGAAAAGTTTGAGCTTGGAAATTCGAAGGTGAACATGGACGACGAGGTAGTAACTGTTAATAATTCGGCTTTCGTAATGAATATATTTTTCTGTCAAATGTCGCTAGTTTGCCGAAACTTCGAAAATAATAGGACAACCTTATTGGCAACCGAACCTCTTGCTTTTACACTGCGAAGATGTTAAATTAACTTTGAGCATACGTCGCCGGTGCTTTGGAGCCATCAAGCTATGGACTTCTGAATTTAAAGTCGTCGTCGAGACCCAATTAACGAGTTGGCCTCTAAATAGCGAAGACTTGAGAAAAATAGATCGATAGCCGAATTATGACGATTTAAATTTAATTTTCACCTCTACGTCAAAATGTACATGTTATTGTATTATTGGATGTACGCCATAGACGTAAAGGGACACTTGTAATCGTGATGGGGATGTGCTGCTATAACAACTATAACACTTAACGTTTTGTGATAAAGTAATATAATAGAATAAGAATAGCAAGACAAAATTGAAATTGGAACACACAACGATGAGCTTGGTATAAAAGACTTGTAACTCTAACATAGGCATTCATTTTAACATAAACTTTATCATGCATAAAATTTAACATTGAAAAATCCTTGTAAAAATAAAAGTAACAAAAAAAAAAACAAAATAAAAAAAAAATTTACAATCGTATGGAAACATCTCGGTCAAGATCTTCGGTAATTCAATATTTTGAAGCAAACATATGGAAGCGACAAAAGAATGAGAAAGGAATATGTTCGGTTTAAGGTCTTGAAATATCCATATAAGTAAATTAAAAATTTTGATAAAATGTGAAAGTATTAAAATCAACGCAATATGCATTAAAAGTGTGTCAATAGAAACACTTGGCAAATAAAATTATGAAAAAAGAATGAAGGGAGGAAAAAAAGTCTTGATATAAATTATTCAAATTATCATGAGTTTTGTGATAGTTGTTATTGTCGATAAGAAAAATTCTATTCTATAAAATGATAAGTATTAATCTAATAACAAGATACAATAAACCTTTAGACTTACGTAAAATATTTTATTATTCGCTCGCCTTACGTAAGCTCAAAAAATGCATAAAAATTTCTTTAAGTTTCATAAATTACATATCTTAAAATTTACATTATCTATGGAAATATTGTAGGCGTATATAAGTTTTACACATTCGTTATCTAATTTAATGTAATGTTCAATTCTACGGGGCTTAGACTTTATTTGTTTCTATTTCAAATCAATACCATACATTAATTGATAAAAGCTACTTAATTGAAAATAGAATATCCCTGATTCGCTTTTAATTTTGTTATTATTAACCATTGTTGAACAATGGTTCGATCATTAAATTATTTGTCGAAACGAGCGTAATCTAAAGTCGCAACATTTCAAAAGTTACATTGATAATAGATTGAATATTGGTGGAGTGTACGTAATAAGAACCTTTAAATGTCGGATTATTGAAAATTTTCAATACAAGAAATTTTCCTTAGAATATTAACAACTTGAATCTTTGGAAAATAATATGTCGACGCACACACATGACAATCTTGTTGAAATTTATCTTAAATCTATCAATTCGTAGTAGATAGAGTAATTAGATTATGTGATAATAATTCATATTTTTTTTTTTTAACTTTTTTAACTTTATGCTTTAAAGGTTCAATATTAGGTAACAATGTGATTTTGCAGCTTCAATGTTATTAGTCAACATTTCCTTGCATTTCGTTATAAGCTTATGTATGAATGCTTTAAAAGCGAATCAACGTAAAACAAAACAAAAACAAAAACACGAGAAACAAAAAAATCTTTTCACAATCTGTATTTACATAAAGAGCAAACGTATTTGAAGGCGTCGATCAAATGAAATTTAAAAATGAAAAAATTTGTAACACGATACTCTCGTCCCCTGCGAGATTAATAACAATACAAACATTATAAGTCATTAATGGGCTTAAATACGCCTGTTCTTCAAACTTATAATGCCAACTATTCGTCTACGCTTCGGAATACAAGGATTATATATTAATTTCAAAGCTCTTATTAATTAAAGCTTCGTTCACTCGAATGATAAAAGACCAATAAGGCGTCATTCAATTCAATTTCTTAGCTCCGATAATAATGAAACGAGAGGAACTTTTTCTCATTTCCAGCTGTAAATTGAACATTGAGCTATTGTTATTATTGTAGTGGTACCGGTACCTACTATCCCAAGCACGAAGTCCTTTATTTTACGAACGGGAGCACGGCACGCCAATAGACAGACAGAGAGAGAGAGAGAGAGAGAGAGAGAGAGAGAGAGAGACAGAGAAAGAGCATATGCAACTTACATCGGTTTGCCTGAGCTCGGGCTCGGATTCCCGTTTCTTCGTGTCCGCGATCTTGTGCAGCTCGTCGTATTCGGCAGTGACGTCGTCGGCTTCGGCGTCGGCGTCGGCCTCGGCGTCACCGTCAGCCTCGGCGTCGACCTCCGCGCTGCTGCTGCTGCTGCTGCTGCTGCTGCTCACCGGCTGATTAATCAAATTATTGTTCTCGAAAGGCTTGGGGCTACAAAGCTCCTTCTCCTCTTCGCATTGGTCAGGCTTTTCCACGAGGGCTGGATCCTTGCTCTGTCCAATGACGCTGGCGGCGTTGGCGCCGCTCTTGTTGTCGCCCGGCCGGTAATAGTTCCACTCGTCCTCGCTGTCCTCACTGTCCGCTACATTATCCGCCTCGGGAATCAGTTCATTACGATGGCTTTCTGTAACAGTAGGTAATTTTCCATTCTTAATTTCTCCTTATTTCGGCACCTTCGGGCTTTACGCGTTCGATGGCACGTGATGTCGGTTCGTGTTTCATTTGTACGATCGTGTTTCGTTTCATTGGAAAGGGACGTTTCAACGAAACCCTTCAATGCTCATTTTCACAATATCGAGAGACTCGGCCTTACGAACGAATAATTTTTTGTTTACGCGGTTCAGGAATCGAGGGGCGAGGGCCATTAAACGGCTACTTTAATCTCTCGGGCTTATCGATGAATTTTTACGTATCCATTAAAATTTCTATAATTTAATGGTGTCTATGCGAATTTTGGGATTTTTATTGCACGTTCTACTTCACAATGTACCAATTTAATAATTTCTTAACGATCACTTCACGTAGTGATTATCCCTATTTCCTAATAGGCTGATTGTATTTTCGGTAATTCTACCTACTGTTTTTGCGAAGAAACGTACTATTCCAGTTGATAAGACTTTCACGTTAATGATCAAACCAATAAGTTTTCTTGGTAGACGTGGTATGCTGCTTGTGACAATATACAATGAGCGCAATTAATTGGATTACAGCAAAGTGGCGAAGCAATGACGGCGTAGGGGCTAATAATCGTCACTTTTCAACAGTCTTATAATAACCCTAAAGAAATCCCAAATCTTCTTTATCGAGTTGCGATTGAATTGAAAATATTGTATATTGGTCGAGTGTTGCCTACGGCCTAGGATTACAAATATCACACACGAGGGCAGAGTATAAGGAGGCGAGAGAAATGGAGGGATGGAGGAAGAGACAGATACATAGAGAATGAGAGATAATGAGAGAGAATGAGAGAGAATGAGAGAGAGAGAGAGAGAGAGGCAGGGTAGAGTCGATCGGGCTTGCACTTTAGCAGCAGCAACCCACTGGCACAATTTCCCCGATCGCGGCGAGCGGAAAATGTAGAACTGCGGTTACGCGACACTCCTTGGCCGGCGAGGCATCGATTGCCGCAGTTAGTTGATTCCGGGCGTTCGGGCAAGGGGTGCCGAGGGACGGCCGTGAGGCACTGCCTCCGCGTGGATGATGTTAGCCGGATGTACGCACCCTCTCATCTTCGAGCGAAGTCTCTACGGTAGGGAACTCACGGCGACGTCTCGAGGCACAAGAGAGTAAAGGCCGCAGCGCTCGGCTGCCTCCGCGGCCAACAGCAGGCAGGATGAAAGGAGTCGCTCGCCTCGGAGGAGGGATATGCATTATCGATCTCGCCCGGAGAGCCCCCTATATAGAGTGAGAGGGCCGGTTGTGGAGTGAGCGCGAGCGAGAACGAGAGAGAGAGAGAGAGAGAGAGAGAGAGAGAGAGAGAGAGAGAAACCGCCACCCACCTGTCCGCCAGACTTCTGCCTATATATATATATATATATATATACCTCAACGCCCACCCCCGCAAATACTCACTGAGGATCTCGAACACTCTTAGCGCCGATATCCTAACGACCGAGATAGCCAAGAACTCCCTAGCCTTTTCCTGCGACCTCTCTGTAAGATTGATGCGGTTCTACCGATTGTCGTCCGCTTCGCCGGATAATTTTTTTCAATAATTTTGAGATTCGACGCGAGTTTTGAGACCAGATTAAACATATCTTCAAAGTCTAAGATAATTACGCTACTTTACGTATTACGAAGAAGTGGCCGCTTCACACTGGATGCGAGATGCTTGGCCCAAGTGTGACGAGTTGTAGGCGTGGACCTACCGTATGTGTACATCGACCCGGTGAGAGAAGGAGCGAGCGAATGTGAGTGATCGCGGTGGCGATGGCCGGTGGAGGATAGTGGCGAGTACAGGGGTTTCAAATATCTACTAACGTGTAGGG